CAAATTTTTCTTTATCTAAATCATTTGATATTACTCTCATCACCTTACTCTTTTCTATGTCGTCACTTTCAACTTTCCGACCTTCGATCACACATGAGCACCCCAAACTCCCACTAACCTTTGCAATTTTTCTTTAGAATCTCCCATGACACCGTATTCGTCAGCAAAAATATTTTTTATTTTATTATCACACCGGCCGATTCCCACCAAGGCATGGTGGCCCGAAAAAGAAAAACTTTCACCATCATTCACTCCTCACTGTCTTGCCAGAAGGGTGCTTTACACTACATTTTTTAACTGCAACATTAACACCCCTCTTCAGAGTGCAGGCACTGTACTTCCCATCCTCCAGGACTCAGTCCGGCCTGCCGGTTTCCCTGAATCCTCATAAATGTTACTTGCTCACACTCCAACGCATGTCAATTAGTAAAAAACCATTTGTCCACCATTCACTCCTATCAAACATGCTCACGCAATGCCGGCTGGAAGTCCAATCCCCTCGCACACAAAACCTCCTTTAACCCCTCCCTCCAACCCGTCCCTAGGCCGACCCCTACCCGCCTCCTTCCACTACAGACTGATACACTCTTGAAGTCATTCTGTTTCGCTCCATTCTCTCTAACAAGTCCGAACCACCTCACAACCCTTCCTCAGCCCCTCTTGACAACAGTTTTGGTATCCCGACACCTCCCCTAACTTCCAAACTACGAATTCCACCTGCATTAATATTCACACCACACATTGCCCTCAGACATGACATCTCCCACTGCCTCCGAGCTTCTCCCTCGCTGCAACATTCATCACCCACGCTTCACACCCATATAAGAAGCTTTGGTAAAAACTAATACTCTCATACATCCCCTCTTTGCCTCCAAGGACAAAGTTCATTGTCTCCACAGACTCCTAATGCACCACTCACCTCTTTTTCCCTCATCAATTCTATGATCACACTCATCTTTCATAGACCCATCTGCTGACACGTACCACATTCCCAAATATCTGAAATACGTTCACTCCTCCATACACTCCTCCCGTCCAATCTGATATCATCTTTCATCACCTATCTTTTTGTTATCCTCATAACCTTACACTTTCCTGTATCACCTTTTAATTTTCTTTTCTTGCTTTTGCACACTCAATTCAACTGTTCCTACCCAAATTCATCCACCAATCTTCTGCAACTTCTCTTTCAGAATCTCCCAGAGCAAGTGACATCAGCAAAGAGCAGCTTGACAACTCCCACTTTGTGTGTGATTCTTTATCTTTTAACTCCACGCCTCTTGCCAAGACCCTCGCATTTACTTCTCTTACAACCCCATCTATAAATATATAAACAAACCACGGTGACATCCCACATCCTTGTCTAAAGCCTACTTTTACGGGAAGAGAAATTTCCACTTTCTACATATCTAACTTGAGCCTCCACTACTTCGTAAAAACTCTTCACTGCTTTCAGTAACCTACCTCCTACACCAAACACTTGAACAATCTCCACATTGCCCCCCTATCCACCGTTGGTTTCTGTCATGACGCCTTTCCAAATCCATATAATGCCACAAATACCTCTTTAGCCTTATATCTAAATACTTTTCACTTATATGTTCACTGTAACACACTGTCCCACACACCCCTACCTTTCCTAAAGCCTCCTTGTTCATCTGCTATCTATTCTCCGTCTTACTCTTAATTCCTTTCAATTATAATCTCTAGCCATACACTTAAACCAGGGTACACTTCAACCGACTTATCCCCCAATATTTTTGCACTCTCTTTTATCCCTTTGCCTTTATACAAAGGAACTATGCATGCTCTCTCCCAACCCCTTGGGTCCCTTTTTTCCCTTCTTCCATACATTTATTAAAAAAATTGCAAAACCATCCAAAACTTTACCCCCACCTGTTTTTAAACATTTCTTCTTTATCCCATAAACCCCCGGGGTTCCCCTTAACCCCCCTTTCATTTTACCTACTGCCACACGAATTTCCCCCCAAATCACAACGGCTCTTCCTCACTCCTAAAAGATTTATTCCTTTTTTGCCCTATAACCGAAATCCCCAGCTTCCCTATCTTCATAAACCCTTTTAAAAAATTCCTCAAAATTTTCCCTTCCATCTTCCAAATACCTCAAATTTCTTTTTAAATAATTCCCCTTTCCCCTTTTTTTAAAATGAAAAATTCCATTTGTTTCTAGGCTTTTTTAAACTTTTTAAAACTAACCAAAAACTTTTTTTTATTTTCAACAAAATTTTTTTTTGAAAAACATCTAAACCCATCTCTAAATTTGCTTTTCTTTTTACTTGTTTTCACCCCCTTTTAAAACTTCTTTTTTTTTCTCCATATATTTCTTCCCCCCTTTGGGACACCCTTTTCTACTTTGAAAAAATTTCTCATATGAAACTTTTTCTCCCTTACTCCCTCTTTAAACATCATTTTCCCAAACCAATCGCTCCTTTCCCCCCTTTGCACCCATTTTCCCTGAAACCCAAAAAACTTCTGCTAAAACACTCTAACACTACTTTTTTAAAAAAACCTTTCCCCATACCTCTTAACCCCCCCATTGCCTAGTTTCCCCATTAACCCATCTATCCCCAATTGCTGTTTTATCTTTTCCCTAATGCCTCCTCTTTTTGTTTATAAACCTTCACCTCTCTCTTCCCTGAAGCTTTATTCTCCCTTTTTTCCATCTACCCTTTTTCCCCTCAGTGTAGTACAAAATAGAAAAAGGGTTGATATATCTTGGCCCCTCTATAAACATGTACATCCCGAAGTTACTCAACAGTTTTTTTTTCTACCAATACATAATCCAACAAACTACTGCTTTTCCCCCTACTTACGGTATACTTTTTACCCTCTTTTTTTTAAAATATGTATTCCTATAACTAAACCCCTTTCTATCAAAGTCAATAAAAGGGCTCCCATTATCATTTAACCTGGCCCCCCCAAAAATTCCCCTACCACCCCCTCTCTAAAAGTTTCTTATTTAGTTTTCAAGTCCCTACCAATTACTCCTCACTTGGTTAAAGGCTCCTATACTTTCCCTTTAACATCCCCAAAAATCTCTCTCTCTCCTTGATTCCTCTCTTCTCCAGGTGATACACGCTTATTATGACCCACTTCTGCATCCAACCTTTCTTTAACCCACATAATTCTTGAATTTACACATTCATATTTCTTTTCTCCTTCCATAACTGATCATTTAATTTTTATTTTCTCCCCCTTCTTTGCTCTAACTCTCTCAGTACTCCAGTTTTAATCCCATTTATTTCCCCCCACTGAAACCTCCTACCCCCTTCATTTTTTTCGCTTGGGCCGGACATCCAACTTTTTTTCTTAAAACATCACAATCACTGTTTCTTGTCTTCCGCCTACCCCACGCACATTTAAGAAACCCCCGTTTTAAAAAAATTTTTCTTTTTCTTTTTTTTAGTAATTGTAACGGGGAGAAGGGTTACTGCCCATTGTCCGGCATTTTAGTGCCTCATACGAAGCATGGCTTACGGAGGAAAGATTCTTTTCCACTTCCCTGGAAAATAGAAGAAAAAAAAAAAAAAGAGCTATTTAGAAAAAGGAGAAAAACTAGTGATGTAAAAATTTTAATATGCAGTGGTGTCTGTGAATGTGCCCAAAAAAGTGTAAGTAGGAGTAGAAGATACCCCTGTTATCTTAGCGTGTTTAGAGACAGAAAAAGTAACTGTGCAAATTCCATTTTTAATTTATTCCCCCAAAATTTAAATCCCACCCCTCTCCCAACACCCCAGCATTTACTTTCCCTTTACAAACCCTCTTAAATATATTAAACACCATGGTGACATTACACACCCGGGCTAAGACCTATTTTACGGGAAGTAGTCCCCCTCTCTTCTACATACCCTACCTACCTCACTATCCTCATAAAACTCTTTTTAGCTTTAGTAACTTACCACCCATTCCCTATACTTAACTCTGCCACATTTTCCCCTATCCACTCTATTCAATGCCTTTTTTAAATCCAAAATGCAAAAAAAAAACTTCCCTCCTTTATCTAAATACTGTTCACATTATCTTTAATGTAAACACTTGATCTACAAATCCCCTACCCCCCTTAAAACCTCCTTGCTCATCCCCAATTCTACATTTGTCTTACCTTATTTTTTCAAATTTTAACCCTACGTAAATTTTTTCCGTATACTAGTAAATTTTCCTCATAATTAAAATGAAAATTGCCAAAAATTGACATTTTTTATGCTTTTGAATAGTTCTCTTTGCAAATTCTGCAACAAGTTCTTCGAGACATGGCTGCCTTTATCTTTACATGGTTACCTCCATCATGGTGGGGAGTCCCTTTTCCTTCTTGATGTGGGTAAAATGATATTTCAGGAAAGAACTATCTGCTTTGCTTAAGTTTTTATGCATGATTCTGGAAGCAATTTTTTTTTTTATCTATCATGGTATTAACCTTTAGAAAAAATTAAAATGTAGTCAAATAAATAATGAACTTAAGGAATAAGGATAATAAAATAGAATACTAGATACGCTAAATTAGGAAAGGAATTCTGTGTAAGAAGAATAAAAATTTTGTACATAAGGAAAGGGAAAGAGAAGGGGAGATTTGCAGTGATCACCCCTGCTTTAGTACTGAACCTGTTTTCGTGACACAATGATTTAGTTATTTAAGCCAGTTTTTCAGTGATCACACTGCTTAGCTTTGAAGCCCCCGTTTGCAGTGATCCCAATGATTTAGCTATTCAAGCCTCAGTCTGCAACAATCATGGGCCAATAAGAGCATGCTGCACCATCTGTTGAGACAGCTCTGAGGAACTGTAACACAACTCCCGTAAATTTTAATTACATCACTCCCATGATTACTTCATCAAACTAATAAAAAATATATATCAGAACTTCTTTTACAGGCTGATGAGGAATAACAAGTCAAAGCATAATAACAGTACACATTTTAAAATGTTAAAAAAGTTATCATATCTCTAACCTGGAAAAGACGTAAAAGAAATTTGTAAACTTACAATAAACTGCTCACAATCTCTCTCATAGTCAACATTGGGCAGGTCAGGCATCATGTGAGAAACCACTTTAAATCCAGCATCTTTTGAATAGTGAAAACTCTCACTCACTGCTCTCACTGTGTGCCCTCTGAAATGCAACAATAACATTACAGACTGCTAAAACAAAATAATACTTAAGCATAGCCTGTAAACTTTTCCATGTGGGCCATTAGATGTTATATAGACAGAATGAGAGGTGGCAGAGGAAGAGTAGTGTTGAAGGACAATAGCATAAAAGGAAAGAGTGGGTTCCAGTGATAGAGCAAACCAGTGTCAATTAAGAAATCATGAAGAGAAACTTCACTGAAAGGTAAGATAGAAAGGACAAAGATTTTTATGTGCCTTCACACTCTTATGTTAACTCCTTTTCTCACATAAAAAAGGCATTAATGGGCTTTAGATCATTTTAATTCTAAATATATACACCTACCATCCGACTTACGACTGAGTTCGGTTCCGAGAAACCGGTCGTAAGTCAAAATGGTCGCAAGTCGAACTTACTACTGAATATCAACAAAAACATTTTTGTAATGACTTTATTTTATTGTTTTATTTTGGTATTTCATGTTTTACTTTACTTTTTATGTTATTAGTACTGTATTTTATACTGTAAGGTTTAGGATAAACACTGTGTACAACACAAATAGTTGTTTATTTCCCAGAAATTTGGCATAAAAAACACGGTCGTAAGTTGAGTGGTCGTAAGTCGAGCAGGTCGTAAGTCAGATGGTAGGTGTATATATTACTGATCACCCACTGCTTCCCTGAGGGTGACCCAAGCAATACACTTCAATAAACAACCTATCCTATTTAGTCATCATCATTGTAGTGTTTTATCACATTGTGCAGTTTATTATTTTATCAAAATATCAGCATTCTGTGAATTAAAAGTACAGTGGAACCTCGGTACTCGAACTTAATTCATTCCAGAAGTCTGTTCGAGTACCGATCTGTTCAAGTATCGAACAAATTCTTCAAAACCAATTTTCTTTTTGGTTGGCTCTTATCACTAATCTTCATAGGCCCCATAGTGACTTATTTATACAAATAATATAAAAACACACCAAAAAATGCGAAGAAACACAAAATAGTTCACAGTAAAGTTCTGGCAGGTTGTGTTTGTTTAGTGGAGTGCTGAGCTTTGTTCGAGAAGGGAGCTGTCCGAGTACCGAGGTTCCACTGTCCTGAATAACTAATTAGCTTTGACCAAGAGATATACAAAACACTTACCTATTAGTATCCCTAGCTACATCTTCATATACAGACTGAACACCAATTTCTAGTCTTGTGCAACCATACTTAAGCATGTCTGAGAGGTGGCGCTTTAAACAGTAGTCCGGACGTGTTTCAATTGTAATACCTAAATTAGAAAAAAGTGGTGGCATAAATAAGTATTCTATCAAAAACATTTAAGAAATCCCACATGTAAATAGGTATCACATTTTTGGCTGATCACACTTGATTAAGACATTAACAAGCCCAAAAAAATTTCTCTCTACACACAATTTTTACAGGCCTTATGTGGTAAACCACCCCTAGGATGCAATCCACAGCAACTAAGACCCAAGTACAGTATTTATTTAACACGAGGTTAACAAGGGCAGTAGATGTTAAGAGGCTTGCAACCCTACATAAGAATCAAATCCAGGATTTTTTAATTCTGCAAATTGTCCTCAGAATAACACTTCTTTTCTAACCCTCCTTTTTCTAAGGGTGAATTGGATTTATTATTACTACATTCATAGAGAAAAAAAAGTACTAAATTTACCCATAGGGGTCATACAGTGCCTGAGGGAATGAGAGACACCCAGGTTTGATCTAAAGAAAGGGGAGATCAGATCCAAATCCTTCGAGTAAGAGCTTCTCACTGGAGTCACAGAACCTCCCTTGAGGAATGATGAGTTGGGAATGGTTGGGTGTTAGTTGGATGACCTGCCTAGTATGGCCCAGTAGGCCTACTGCACCACTACTGCTCTTATCAGCTTGTTTATTTTTGAATGATCTGTTACTACACCTTCCTAACCTACAACAGTGAAATGTATACAGTGTACTTATCTTTCCATATGATGACTTGCAAAGAGGCACTCAAATACCAACACATTTACCAACATTCACTCAACTGTCATCTTTCCAGAATTGTGCTGACATCACTATCAGATTAACCTTCCAACTGCAATATTCCCACTCCTCCTTCAGAATGGAGGCACTGTCCATACCAAGGACTCGCTAGCTCATTGGTTTCCCTGAATCTCTTCATAAAGGTTATCCTGCTCATGCTCTAACAGCACATCCATTAAAAACCACTTGTCTCCATTTACTCTTATCACAAACTCTCACACAAGCCTGCTAAATGATTATGTTCTTTTATTCACAAAAACCTAGGTAGTAGGTTGGAAGACAGCAACCACCCAGGGAGGTACTACCGTCCTGCCAAGTGAGTGTAAAACGGAAACCTGTAATTATTTTACATGGTGGTAGGATTGCTGGTGTCTTTTTTTTCTGTCTCATACACATGCAAGATTTCAGGTACGTCTTGCTACTTCTACTTACACTTAGGTCACACTACACATACATGTACAAGCATATATATACACACACCCCTCTGGGTTTTCTCCTATTTTCTTTCTAGTTCTTGTTCTCGTTTATTTCCTCTTACCTCCATGGGGAAGCGGAACAGAATTCTTCCTCCGTAAGCCATGTGTGTTGGAAGAGGCGACTAAAATGCTGGGAGCAAGGGGCTAGTAACCCCTTCTCCTGTATAAATTACTAAATTTAAAAAGAGAGACTTTCGTTTTTCTTTTTGGGCCACCCTGCCTCGGTGGGATACAGCTGGTTTGTTGAAAGAAGAAGATTCACAAAAAATATTGAATTACAAACTACTACTACTATTACTATCTCTATCACTAGAATTATTATTACTGCTATTACTACTATACTGCTAGTACATTATCACTTTTATTAGTACTTCTATAACTACTTCCCTCTGTCCCCTCTCTCTTTCTGACTTGTTTTTTGGTCTTATCTGCTTTTTCTTGGTCAGCTGTGAGTTTCTAATAGTTTAGGATAGCTTAAAATGTGCTGTTAAGTTTTTTTTTAATTTTTTTCTCTAAATCAAACATGGGCAAGAGCTTTGCAAATGTGACCGAGCAAAGAGAAGAACTGAAAAGATATGTGATGATTGTGATAATTGTTGCCATTATATTCATGAAGAAACACTACACCCATAAGGGTCAAGCAGCCCCTGGGGAATGAGTGGTAATCAGGTTTGATATGAAGAAGAGAAGAGTAGCCCCAATTACTTGGATAAAAAGCATTTTGCCAGCATCAAAGCAGCTACTCCCATCTCTATCCCTTGAAGGAAAAAATTATTGAATTACTGTGAAAAAAAAGGGAAAACCCCTTGGAAAAAGATAAACATTTAAAGGTAAGGTAATATTTGTAAATAATAATTTAGGGAAGAAAATGTTTACAAGGGGACTGTGCTGAAACCACAGGCCCAATTGACTCTGCAAGCTAACATTCCAACCTCTCCTTCAGAGTGAGGTACTTTTTTTTCCCAAACCCCCAGGACTAAAAATCCACATAACCGTTTCCTTAAAACCCCTCCAATATGTTACTTTGGGCTCCATTCAAATAGTATGTCAAATTATAAAAAAAAAATTGTCTCTCAACTTGTCCTATCAACTTGTCACAAAAACCCCCTTGGGGAAAGCCCAAAGCCCCAACATTTAAATTTCCTCCTCTATCCCCCCCCCTTTAACCCTTTCTTAGAATGAGCCCTTCCTCCCTTTCCCCCCGATTTTTACATAACCCCTCCACCCTCTCAAACTTTTCCAAAACCCACCTAAAAAGCCCTCAACCCTCTGAATAAGGGGGAAACAAGTTTTAACCAATAAAAACTTTTTTGTTTGTAGGGTTTCCTGGAGAGTGAAACACCCATTTAAAATGTTTTTTAGTTACTTGTGTCCTTTTACCCAAACCCAAAAAATGTTTAGAAAATTTTCAATTTTTGGAAACACTGCAGGTTTTAAAAGTATAAAAGGAAAAATGTGACTGGGGCACTACGTCAAAACCATTATTTTTGGGAAAAACTTTCCAAAATTTCAAGTTTTTTAAAAGGGTTATTTCATATTTTTTTTTTTCCAGTACTCTGAAAATTAATTTTTTTATTTTTTCCGGTCCCCTAAGTAAACTTGCAAACTGTGGGGAAAGCATGTACAAAATTAAAAATCACTAAGAGGGGGTTTTTAGTTTTGGGAGATGCCTTATTAATAATAATAATAAAAAACCAAAAAATAACCCTTGGGGGCCATTAAAGGGGGTTGTTTAAATTTTGAACTTTTGGGCTTACCCCATTTTTTGGGTTATTTTTTCAAAATTTAAATTTAAATATGCTATGTAACATTAAACCTTAAAAAACCCCAAATAGATTAAATTAACATAAATATGGACGTTTTTTTGTCAGTTTGTGGGAGTGAACAAAAACCATACCCCTTTGGGCTGGTTTGTTTTTACATAATCATTGTTTCCTTTTAAATGCACTCATTTTTCTTTTCATTCACATTCATTCTTTCTCATTCTCTCCCCCTCTTCATTCTCTCCCCCTTTTCCCATTCTTTTCTCTCTCTCTCTTTTCTCTTTTCTCTCTCTCTCTCTCTCTCTCTCTCTCTCTCTTCTTTTCCTTCTCTCTCTTCTTCTCTTTCTTCTCTTCCCATTCCTCTTCTCTCTCTTTCTTTCTCTCTCTTTTTTCCCTCTCTCTCATTTTCTCTCTTCCATTCTCCTCTCTCTCATTCTCTCATTCTCTTCTTCTCATTCCTCTTCTCATTCTTCTCTCTAAATTCTCTCTCTCTCTCTTTCTCTCTCGTTTCTTCATTTTTCCCCTTTTCTCTTCTCTCTCTCTTTTTCTCTTTTTCATTCTTCTCTTTTCTAATTCTCTCTTTTCTTTCTCTCTCTCCTCATTCTCTCTCTCTCATTCTCTCTTTCTCTCATTCTTTTCTCTCTCTCTCCTCTTTTCTCTTCTTTTCTCTCTCTCTCTCTCTCTCTCCTTCTCTCCTCTCTCTCTATCTTTCTCTTCTTCTCTCTTTCTCCTCTCTCTCTCTCTCTTCTCTTTTTTATATATATTATTATATATTTATTTTCTATATATATATATATTATTTTTTTATATATAAAATATTTTATTTCAAAAAGGTTGGCCGTCTCCCCGGGGGCAGGGGGGGCCCCAAAAAAAAGGAAAAAAAATCCCCAAAAAAAAAATGCTTTCATCATCATTAAAACACTTTCACCCACTCACACTTTTCACTGTTTTTGCAGAGGTGCTCAAAATTTACAAAAGTTTAGAAGCTTTTTCGTAAAAATTTTTCCCAAAACATTTCCCCCCAAAATCCCAAATATCCCAAACCCCCCCTTTTAAAGTGCGGCTTTTATTCCCCATTTCCGGTTTTAAGTCCCGGATTTATATGAAAATAACCCCGGTTTTCCCTAAATCCCTTCACAAAAATTTTTCCCGGCTCACATTTCCAACAGGATTTTAAAAGGTCCCAAAGCCTTTTTTTTCCCCTTTTCACCCCTTTAAAAAACTGCTCATGCACGTTGCTGGAATTTCCAAGCCCTTGCCCACAAAACCTCCTTTACCCCCTTTTCCCAACCCTTTTTCGAGGACCCCCCCCTTTCCCTTTGCCCCCTTTTCCCCTATGGGATTTTATTGTTTTCCCCAAGTCTTTCTACTTTTTTTCCTTTCTCCCCTAAATGCCCAAACCACCTCAAAAAACCCTCTTTGCCCTTGATTTAAATTAACTTATTTTTTAAACTCCCCTTTTCCAAATTTTTCCAAACTTTCCCGAATTTTCTGCATAATATTTACACCACAAAAATTCCCCCTTTTGACGGGGACATCTCCATTTCCTCCAACCTTTCTCCTCGCTGCTGCTTTTACCCCAAGTTCAAACCCATATAAGAGTTTTGGGGTACTTCTATACTTTCATACTTTCCCTTTTTTCCCTCCTTAGATATTTTTTTTTGACCCCCATTATCCCCTAAATTGCCCCAATCCCCTTTTTTTCCCCTATAAATTTCTATGTTTAAACCCCTCATCCTTCATAAATCCATCCCCCGGGACACGTCAACCCCCAAAGGATTAAAAAACATTTACTTTTTCCCTTACTCCCCCTCCCCAATTTGTATAAATTTTTTCTTTATCAAAATCATTTGTTACCTCATCCCTTACTCTTTTCTATGTTCACTTTCAACTTTTCTACCTTTACACAATTAAAAAACTCACCCCTATAATTTTGCTTTTTTTTTTCCTTTAAAATTCCCCCTAAGCACAGTTTCACCCAGCAAAAAATTTAACTGTGTTAATTCCCTTTTTGGGAATTTTTTGATTCCCCTAATTTAATCCCCCCCCTTCCCAAAACCCCTAGCTTTACTTTTTTTTACAACCCCCATTAAAAAATTATTAAAAAACCATGGGGGGACATTACACACCCCTGTCAAAGGGACCTACTTTTTCCCCGGGAAAGTAGTCCCCCTTTTCTTCTAAACCCCACCCTAACCTGACCCTCTATACCCTTAAAAAACTCTTTACGCTTTTATTTTAACTTCCCAACCTTTTTCCATATCTTGAAAACATCTGTCAATTGCTTCCCTATCCCTCTATCATATGCCTTTTTTTAAACCCCAAAATGCAAAAAAAATTTTCCCTCCCTTTATCTAAATACGGTTCACATATATGCTTCAATGAAAACACTTGATCTACACTCCCCTCCCACCTGAAACCTCTGTCACCCGGGAATCCTCATTTGTTTACCTTAATTTTTTTTTTTTTTAAAACCCCTTTCCCATACCTTTCCTGGTTTACTCAAAAATTTTTTCCTCTATTTTTTTTTACAATCTTTTTACCCCCTTTCCCCTTTATAAAAAAGGGACTTTACATGCTCCTCCCCAAATTTCCCTAGGTACCCTTCCCTTTTTCTACATTTTTTTTTAAAACAAAAGTCCCAAACCACTCCAACATTTTTTCCCCCCCTGCTTTTAAAAAAAATTTTTTGTTTATCCCATCGGGCCCCAGCGCTTTCCCCCCTTTCATTTTTCGAAATGCCTCACGAAACCCCCCCCAATTACATTCTGCTTTCTTCCCACCAAAAAGATATTTTCCCTTTCCCGGGACCCGTGCATGAAATTACCACCCCCCTTTCTTCCTAAACCCTTTAAAAAAGGGTTCCTCAAAAAAATATTTCCCCGCCATTACCAAATTTAATTTCCCCTCTCCCCATCTATTTAACTCCCCTACTCTGTTTTTAAGGGACAAACCCCATATTTTCCCCTTTGGGCTTTTTAAACTTTTTTAACTCACCCCAAAATTTTTTCTTATTTTTTTTAAAAATTTTTTGGGACGTGCCTCTCCCCTCTTTCATCTGTTTCCCTTTTGCACTCCCCAACCACTCTCTTACCTTTTTTTTTACTGTCCATATACTGCTTTTCTTATAACATTCTGTTTTGGTAAAAACCTTTTATGCAAACTTTTTCTTTTTTATCACCCCCCTTTACTTCATCATTCCACCAATCACTCCTCTTTCCAGGGGGCCCCCACCCCCCATAACCACAACTTCTGCCCCCTTCTAATACTGCTTTTTTAAAAACTTTTTAACCCTTTTCTTAAACCCCCCCACTACTCATCTTTGCCTAGCCCCCCTTTTCTGCCAACAGTGCTTTATCTCCCCGAATTTTCCCTCCCCCTTATTTTATACCTTTCACCCCCCTTTTAATTGTTGTTGCACCCTTCCTTTTTTCCCATCTACCTCTTACTTTTTGTAGTACAAAAAAATTAAGACCCGTTATTTTCGGGTTGCCCTCATATAAATTGTACACCCCGGGAGCCTCCCTTCAACCTTTATCCACCAATACTTAATTTTCCCAAACTACTTTCTTTCGTGTTTCATCATCCCCTTTGTATATTTATTTACCCTTTCTTTTTAAAAATAGTTGACTTTTTTAACATATTCTCTTTTTTTACTCACAGCTAAAATAAAGGGGCCCTCCCCTTTTTTAAAAATTTAAACCCCGGGGCACCCCAAATTTTTCCTTTAGGGCCCCCTCAAAACTTTTTTTACCCACTTTAGCTTTGGGAAACCCCCCCAAACCCACCTTTTTCTCTCACACTTATTAAAAAATTTCCCCAAAGAAATTAAACCCACCCCCCCAACTTTTCCCCAAATTCTCTCTCTCTCCTCTACACTTCTTTCTTCTCCAGGTGCATACACGTTTTCTAAAAACCCCATTTTTCAATCCAATTTTTTATTTTACTCCACAAAACCCTTTGGGAATTTTAATACATTTATAGTCCCTTTTTTTCCCTGCCATCTTTCCTTAAACTTTATTGTTTCCCCTTCTTTAGCTCTAACTCTTTTTGAAACCCCTGACCTAACCCCATTTATTCCTCTCCATTGAAATTTTTTCCCCCCCCCCCCCCCCCCTTCAGCTTTTTTTCCCATTAAAGCCAGGACATCCATTTTCTTCCCCTTTCATAACACCACAATCATCTTTTTCTTATATTTGCCAAACCAGGGCACATTAAGCCCTTCCCCCTTTTTTGCCCAATTTTCTTCTTCTTTTTCTTTTTAGAAATTTTTTTACAGGAAAAGGGGTTACAAAGGCCCATTTTTCCCCGGTTTTTGGGTTGATTTTTAAAACCCACGCATGGTTTAGGAAAGGAAAGATTCTTTTTCCCAATTTCCCCCTTGGATATAAAGGGAAAAAGAAATAAGGACCAAGAACTATTAAGAAAAAATTTAAAAGGGAAAACTCAGATAGTTTTTGTATAAAAAATGTGTACATGTATGTGTAGGGTGACCAAAGTGTAAGT